GGTTTAGGGGTAGGTTTTAGGTTGTTTGGGGTTTAGGGTTTTTAGGGGTTTAGGGGTTTAGGGTTTAGGATTTGGGGTTTGGGGTTAAGGCTTGAGGTTAAGGGTTAAGGGTGTAGGGGTTTTTTCGGGGCTTAAAGCTTTGTGTCTGCAGTTCCTGAGCTTCGGCGAACAGGCCTTCTGGGGGTTTAACGTTTCGGGGTTTACGGTTCAAAGTTTAGGCTTCCGGGTGGTAAGGGTTGAAGTCGTCGGACCGTTCTAGTACAAGAGATTTCAGCTTCGGGTTGTCGGTTCCAGTGTGATTGTCTCTTTTAAGGTTTCAGCGTCCCTGGCCATGCACGCCATCTAGGTTCTGGGGGCCTTGGCTCTAACGGTGGCTTCTTTTGGGCACGGTCCCTCGTGCTGAGGGTTGCTTCTGGACATGGTAGGATGGCGCCGCTGCTTGCAGTGAAGCGTTGAGGGGCCCTTCGTTGCAAAACATGTCTTGCAAGCCTAAGACCAGGTTCCTTCATGATCATCAGGGCGGGGATATTCGGAGTGTGAAGGAAGGAATGCTACTGCTACTGATTTTTCAAGCGCCGAAACTAGGCTGTGGCTTTTTGGTACCGTGGGCTTGCCTCTTTGGGGCCGCCAAAGCCTGGGGTTCGATGATTTCGTGCATCCAAGGCCCGAAGAACCCGTTAAACTTTCAGATTACCACAAAATGATCGGAACCCAACAAGTTTAAAGGTTGGGTATTGGAGAGCTAGGTACACGAAACCTGAAACTCCGACTCTAAACTCTAAACCCCCGAACCCGCGGGCTCGAGCAGACAGAACTGTACCCTCCGATCCTATGCCCCAACATCCCTCCCCCCCATGGCTCACCTTTTAGGGTTTAGGGTTCAGGGCTTAGGGTTTAGGGTTTAGGACCCACCTTCAACCAAAAGGCAGCCCTCAACCCGAAGCCCTCATCCCTAACACCCTCTAAGGCCCACCTGAACCCCCCTCTAGGCCCCTCATCCCTAACACCCTAGACACCCTTGAAGCAACGCTTGCCCCAGCGTCTGGTCCAGGACATCCTGCAGCTTCAGCTCGGTGTGCTCCCCGAGGAATTGGAGCCAGCTGGCGATGTCGTGGCCCCCTTCGTAGGAGATCCTTGGGGTTAGAACCGGGCTTTTTGGGGGGGCGTAAGCATAGTCTAGGCACAGTAGAAACTCTAGGAACTAGCATCAGTAGCTAGACGTACTTAACTCTATATTATATACTTTGTGCTGTTGTGTTTCGGAGTCAAGAGTTGGGGAATAGCTGGGGCAAGGGGTATAGAGGCTCTGTCGCCGTCTCTTGTTTCTATCTCGCCCTTGTCGGGCCCTTCTTCTTTTCGGGCTTAGAGTTTAGGGCTTACTACCACCACGACGAGGACGAGTAGAGTACCAGCAGTATAAAAGCATATAATAGCAGCACAAGGGTTGTAATGTTAACACCAGGACTGGTGGAGGCAATTGATGGCAACTGATAGCGGCAACTGATAGCAATGCAACTGCTATTCTTAGCAGTAGTACTAATATAAATTAGCACCCCGAAGTAGAGCATCACTGCTCCTAGTTCCACCCTCAACCAACGCATAGGCAAAAAAAACAATTGCCACTTAAAGCTGCCCTTCGAAGGTTCCTTGGTTCGTGGGATACCTTCTTGGACAGTTCAGGAATTAAGTGCTTAAGTCCGGGGGGTAGGGTTTGTAAGTAGCTTGCAGGTCCATTTCTGAGGAGTTATAGGACTGTTGGGAGGCAGAGGTCTTCGGCGCTCAATGAGAACTCCCTGATCCCAAACCTGGAGAGCCTTACAATCCTAAGCCGAAGCCCTCAAGCCCACCAAGCCAAAACCTGAAACCCTTAACTGCTGAAGATCCTTACAGCCGAACGGGGGGCTAGCTGAGGCGTTAGGATTGAGAGATGAGGGAATTTCCGGGCGAGGGTTTAGGGCTTAGGGTTTAGGGTTTAGGGTTTACGGTTTAGGGTTTAGCTACAACCCATGCCGAGCAGCACTACCGGCTTGTCGTTCGAGTGATCCAGGCCGTCGTCTTCCGGCGGCTTCTTGACCAGGAGCTTGATCACCGGGATGTGCCTCTCTGGGAAATACTTCTTGTCCACGTCGTTCTCGTCGATGTTCATGACCTCGGGATTTTCTATAACCTACAGCGCACGATTCCTAACGAGCGCTGGAAAGCCCCTAAATCTTCAGCCGAGGAAGAACTCTTTATAAATCCATGCCTTCCAACCCTTTCACTCTGAAACTTAGGTTTACTCTCTAGGTGCTGCTGCTTGCAACAGGAACGCTCTATCCTCGCCTGCCTCCCCAAACCGGCTTAACACCATTGTAAGGGTCTTTTATTGATGAGAACAGGCTAGGGCTTTGGAGGTATATGATAGTTCGTTTATATACGGGACAAGAAGACGCTATCATTGCTAATTTTCAGCGAGATCCCCGGGATCCATGAGCAACTCTATGTACCCAAATCTGGACCACATCACGTGTGGATGTTTTCAGGTGATGTTACTTCCGTAACGATGAAGCCGTGAAAACATTTATCCTCCATGAGAGAGCCGAAATGAACATTCTCAGAATGGAAGGGCGCAATTCCTGGGCCACTGCCTTCCTACACTCCAGTTCCTAACCCCTGAACCCAGGTCTGCAGTCCGAAATCCCAAACTGCTCTCGCTGCAGTCTAAACCCGACTTCCCAAAGCCAATTCCCCCGCTTCCTAAGCTCCAGTGCCGAGTTGCTGAAGACACCAGCTCCCAAACCCTAAACCCCAAAATACCGGAACCCCCAGACCCCCAAAAACCCCCCAAAACCCCAAATATCCCTAAAGCCTGAAACCCGAAACAAAAAAAAAAGGTCTACGCCTCAGAAATCAGATCCCTCAGAAATCAGATCTCCAAGCGACCCCCACGGTGACCTCCGTGGAGGACTTCAGCAGCTTTGCCAAGGCAAACCAAGCCTCGGAGCCGAGCTTTGCTCGACAGGACCCAGAGAGCCTAACACCCCTTAATTAAGGAATATACCTTAAATCATAATATTAAGGCCCCTATAATTTAAGGTGTACTCCTTAACTAAGGGATGTTGGGCTCTCTGGGGACATTGGGGTTTAGGGCTCACGGGGTTTAGGGTCTAGGGGGTTTTAGGGTTTAGGGTCTACAGGACTTTACTGGTTCCCTGTTGGGGCCAAATGAAAAATGATCATTTTTAATCCTCAGTAGGGTTTTATTATAACAAAACTGGTCACGTTAATCCTTATGAGGGTTTTATTATAACAACAATGTAGAATTGTATCCAACAGGGACCCAGTTTAGTGCTTCTTTGGTGCTTTTTGGGGGCCTTGTTGCACAGTGAACCTACCCCTAGGCTCCATAGTCGTTCCTTTTTGGGCTTACCCTGTAGGATCCTAAAGATAAACCACAAAAAGGAACTACAATGGAGCCTATGGGTAAGACTAAGGACCTTTGGGAGCTGCGGGAGATTCGGGCTCAGGGTTTCGGGGAGCTTGGGGGAGCTGTTAATATGGAGCACTGAACTGGATTTCCACAAAGCTTTGGTACAAGAAAAGGTGGTCAGGGGACACTACTTACTTCGAACTCTAAGAGCGAAGCCCCTAAACCCCTAAACCCTGAAGCCCCCAAACCCTAAAGCCCCTAAACCCTGAAGCCCCTAAACCCTAAACCCCTAAACCCTGAAGCCCCTAAACCCCTAAACCCTGAAGGCCCTAAACCCTAAACCCCTAAACCCCTAAACCCTAAACCCCTAAACCCTGAAGCCCCTAAACCCTAAAGCCCCTAAACCCTGAAGCCCCTAAACCTGCCAACCCCTCAAACCCTCGAAGGTTCGATCCCTTAGGGCCCAAGAGCAGGTTTCATCCGCTGGCAAGCGCCGCACCAGTCCTTGGTTTAGGGTTCAGGGTTTAGGGTTTAGGGTTTAGGGGGGCTTCTTGGCTTTTGGGGTTTTGGGACTTCTGGGCTTGAGGGCGTTAGGGTTTTAGAGCTTTTAGGTGCAACTTTGAGGGCTTGAGGGTTTTAGGGTTTTAGGGCTTTTAGGTGCAAGTTCTCAAGGTTTCTTAGACTTTCCTAAACCCTAAACCCTAAACCCTCCATGTCGGTGGCAAAGGAGCGACTGGAAGCTGAACCCCAAGACCCAAGCCAGAAACCCATTAGGGCTTAGGGCTTACCGGGCTTAGGGTTTAGGCTTTAGGGTTTGGGGCTTAGGCTTTAGGGTTTGAGGCTTAGGGTTTAGGGTTAAGGGTTTCGGGTACAGGGCCTAGGCTTTAGGGATTGGTGTTTAGAGTTTAGGGTTTAGGGCTTAGGGTTTAGGGTTCGGGGCTTAGGCGCTAAATCCTAAAATCCTCTACGCCGGGGCCCAAAACTGAGGGTTACGCGAAGCGCAGTGAGCGAAACGGAGAGAGGGCGCACCCTACACCCTCAACCCTAAACCCTACACCCTCAACCCTCAACCCTAAACCCTATACCCTCAACCCTAAACCCTCAACCCTACACCCTCAACCCTACATCCTAAACCCTAAACCCTACACCCTCAACCCTAAACCCTAGACAAGGATCCCTGTCAAACGGACTCCCATGGACTCCCATGGAAGCGATGCTTCTTGCTGTAAGAATCGGCGGACAGATGGACCCTGAGATGATAGTAACCTCGAGATAAGAAATTCTTCAATAAGTGGGGGATCCCTTTTCATACAACCCCCAAACGACTGAAGATACCACACCCCGGTCCCCGAATGGACTGAGTCCTAAACCCCCAAACCCTAGAACCTAAACCCGAAAATCCCCTCAAAAACCCCCAAACGTACTAAACCCCAAAATCCTCCCCTCCGGAGAGTTCAGAGTTTCGGGTTTAAGTTTACAGATCCCAAACTTAGGGCTCAGCGAAGCCCAGCAAGGTTCGGCAGAGAGCGCCAGGAAGACGCAGGGGTTCGCCTCCAGCAGCTCCTCGAAAGAGGAAGGGTGGCCCCCTGAAGGTTTCTACAGCAGGGCTCAGGGTTTAGGGTTTAGGGGCTACTGTACGGGTTCTTATGCAGGGCTAGTATAAGGGTTCGGGTTCTTTAAAGGGCGACTACGAGACGTGTAAGGGTTCTATAAAGAGCTACTGTCAGTATTCTTACAAAGGGCTACTACAAAATTTCGATAAAGAGCTGTTCTATAACGGGCTACTATAGAGATTGATTTAGTATGGGGGCCTTACGGATCAGAGCAGGGTTCCGGTATGCAAAGTATACTTGCTCCAGAAGCTCCTCGAAAGAGTCCGTGGTGAAGATCTTGATGCCCGGATGCCTGCTCGCGTGGGCTTTGGGGTTCAGAGCTTAGGGCGTTGAGGAAAAGGGGGGGGGGGGGAAAAGTTACGATTTGGGGACTTGGGCCAGCTCCGGGGCTTGAAGCCTTGAAGCAATGTAGTTCCTGTGCCTTCGATGTTAAGAAAATTAGAGTTCTGCATGTCTTCTGCTTTGTCTTGGGGGGCTCTAAGGGCAGAAAGGCTCGGCTGCCGGAAAAGCTGGCCACAGGCGTATTTGCTGCAATCTCTGCAACTAAGGACCTTCCTAGCAAATCGTGCATTTCAAAAAGCAGCACAGGAGCAGACATTGCAGCGATAGTTGTAGGAATCATGCTTCGTTGCAAATGCCAGCAATAGCAGTTCAATAGCAGTTAGCCTCATCGGTAGCAGCGGAAGGAACGCGAGCACTGGCTCTGCGACTGGCGCTGGCAGAACAGGAGCAGCAGCAGCAGCAGTCGTTGAGTCGTAGGAGGAGCAGCAGAGGCAGCAGGTGCTAGTGGTAGTAGGATAGCTGTCTTAGTGGATAGTAAGAAACAGTACAGTAGGTGGGGCAGCTGCAGCATGCTGGCATTGTTGACATCCTCCTGCCGTCCTCCTGGAACACCAGACTCACGAGTGCTAGTCACGGCAAAAAAACCCTAGACCCCCAGACCCAAGACCCTTAACCCTAAAGCCCCAAACCAAAACCCTAAAACCCTGAACGCCCAAAAGGATTCAGAACATAGATCCCTGAAGCGACCTGTGTTCAGGGTTTTAGGGTTCAGGGTCTCTGAAACACCTGTGAGAGCGCGCGCCTTGGGTCGCTATCTCCTGGACCCTAAACCCTAAACCCGTAAAACCCCTAAAACCCCTAAAGCGCGCCTTGGGTCGCTGTCCCCTGGAGGTCGGAAGGCAGAGCGTACCCGGCTGGACTTGCAACGCCAGCACTGCGAGCTGCTGGCGGCGTTGCGGGTGAAGAGCCCGCTGGTCTTGCAAGTGCCATGGGCCTGGGTTTGGGGGTTAGGGTTTAGGCGTTAGGGTTTAGGGTTGAGGGTTTAGGTTGAGGGTTTAGGGTCGTCGAGATAAGGCTGCAAGGTTTTTGGAAATTCAGGCTTAGGGTAGAGGGTAGAGTAACCCCACACGCCGAAACCCTAATTCCTAACCCTAAATCCCAACCCTAAACCCGTAAACCCTAAGCCTAAACCCGTAAACCCTAAACCCGTAAACCCTAAACCCTGGAGCCCTGATCCCTAATCCTCCAAACTCTGAACCCGCCCAACTCCCATGGTTTAGGGTTACTAAACCCCTAAACCCGACTCAAAAGCCGATAAAATCGAGTAAAGGCTTTTGGTAAAAAGCCCCCAGAAAGCACTAAGACCCCCTGAAAGCCCTCTAGAAAACCCCAATAGTTCCCCCAAAATTTTACAAGCCCCGGGGGCGCGGCAGATCCACACTCCGAGCCTTGGCTCTTGGCAGGGACTTTGAGAAAAATAGGGGCCTTCGGAGTGGGCTTCAGACGGTTTTACGTGGGTTGTGGGTGTGGTTTATGGAGTCTTCTAATTTTCTGGGGTTTTATAGGGTCTTAGAAAGGTTTGTAGGGGTTTTTACGGTTCCAGCGCAGGGGTCCCGGGGCCCTTCGTATTAGAGTAAGACGATAAGGGGATACTACGGGTCAGGCCTCCGACCACCTTCTTACAGGGTTTCTACCAGGTTTAAAGAGTCTTATAGAGAGGTGCTACAGGATTTACTAAAAACACACTCGCTGCAGAAAGCAACAAGGTGGAAACCGAAACGTTCACCTAAGCCTTGCCGAACCGATTCACGCATGAACAGCCGGAAACTCTTTGTAGAGATTCTAAAGCGCCAAAATCTCCTAACTAAAAGCGCCGACGCGCGGGAATCCTGCATTAGTGGCTTTTTGCGTGCATACCAGGGTGCATACAGGGTCTCAGGGATCGCTGCCTCAAGTCCTAGAGTCCTAGAACTGCGACCCGAAGCCGATAAACTTGAAAGCCTACCGGGCCACTTTCAGTCGCACTCATATTGTAGACAGACTGCCTTTGAACCCCTCTACAAGCACCCTAAACTCTAAACCCTGAATCCTAAACCCTGAACCTTAAACCCTACACTCTGAATCCTAAACCCTGAACGCTAAACCCTAATCCCTAAACCCCGCAGCTACTGCTTCCCAGGCTTAGCGACGGCATCTGCAGAGACCAGACGTTGAAGAGGTCTGGGGACATGGTCTGCAGCTGGAGGCCCTTGACCTCTGGTCTCAAGGCATTTGGGGTTTGGGGTTCAGGGCTTAGGGTTCCGGGTTCAGGGCTTGCGGTTTGGGGTTCAGGGTCTCAGGGTTCAGGGTTTCAGGGTTGAGGGTTTGAGGTTTAGGGTTTTGGGGTGTAGGGTTCAGGGTTTGGGGTTCAGGGTTCAGGGTTCAGAGTTTAGGGTTCAGGGTCTAGGGTCTAGGGTTCAGGGTTTATGTTTCAGGGTTTGGGGTTTGGGGTTCAGGGTTTAGGGTTTAGGGTTTAGGGTTTGGGGTTTGGGGTGTAGGGTGTTTGTGGAGGGGTTCAAAGGCAGTCCCGAAAGGCATCCAGAAGGTCTGTTCTGACGAGTTGTAAATTATGTCAACTAGCCATCCACTCACCACACCTTGGTCAGGAACTGCCTTATCTGCCGTTGTCCATGAAACCGTCCGGGTCGCTAGGCTTAGTGCCGGGGTTTAGGATGTGTAAGGTTCAGGCCTTAGGGACCAGCGCGTACTGGTTGAGGTTTAGGGTGTGAGGTCTAGGGCTTAGAGGTTCACGGTGCAGGGCCTAGAGTTTAGGGTTAGGGGGGTCTCCAGTAATGTAGGCCCTCGACGAGGAAACCGTTTTAACCTGAATGAAAACCCTGGGGGATCCCAAGATGCACATCTCAGGGGGGCTTGCAGTACCCGGTTCGGAACCCTCACTGGCGGTCCCTCGAGGAAGATCTCGAAAGATCTATCACCTTTCACTGCAGCTCGCCACTCCTCCTGGCCTGAAAGAAGCAACAGACGAGAAAGCGAAGTCCTCTAGCACCAGACAGCGAGAAGCCCCGTCTCCGCGCCTCAGCAGAACCAGCTGTCCGGCCTGCAAGTCGTCGTATGCTCCCGGTTGGAATACTTCGGGCAGTACTCGCGGGTGTGGGGCTCCCAGAGCTTGCGGTTCACGCCGTGATGGCGCCAAGGCTTCAAAGGCCCGGTCCAGTGAAGCACCTTTGCCTCTGCCAGCACGTGTTTCGGGTAGTTCAGGCGATGCCCCAGCCCGTCCACATTCCAGGACCAGTGCAGAGACACCACCTCGTCATGGAAGAGCAGTAGGAGGGGCGGCTGAGATCCGTGCAGCCACAGGCGCCTGCGGGAGTTCAGTTCGATCCACTCCGCCACCAGGCGCGACGCGTGGCGCTGCCTCCAGCGCGCAAGGTCGATGACCATAACACCCGCATTGAAGGAGGGCGCTTCACTGGGCAGCCAGCTGGGAACGGCTGGCTGCAGAACGTCGACATAAGTCCGCAGAGGCTGGTTGCTTCGCTGGACAGCTGCCACCGTGCCCGGAGCACCGTTCACTGTGCTCATGTTCACGTTGTAGAGCTCGGCGAGGTCTCCCTTGACCACGACATCCACGTCCAGATACACCACTCGCGACAGTCCTGGAAGCAGGGTGTGGAGCGAGAAGCGCGCGAAGTTGTGCACCGCTCCCAGGTTCCCGGTGTCGGAGCGAAGTGAGTTGCTGAGGTCTGTCTCACCCAGCATGATGGCAGAGGCCGAGTGATTCGCAGGCCTGGAGGTGGAGTTCATGCCAACCTCGGCCCAGATGTGGTCCGAATCCAGACCGTGCAGGATGAGCTGTGCCCGGCCCTGGAGCCGAAAAGTCCCCAGGATGGGCCAGGAGAGACCTCGGCCGGTGCCATCCTCCAGCAAAGTCTCCGCAAAGGCGCACCGAAGGCCCTCGATGACAAAGTCTTTCTGGTGGGGGAGGACGAAGGCATGGAAGCATAGGCTCGAGGCGTTGGCAGCGGATGTTACGGCGCTCTGCAAGGTCACGATGAGACCGTCAATCTGTGCGAGGTCTGCAGACAGCGCCACATGAGCGAAGCCGTCGCTGTCGCTGAGGCAGGCCAACGTCGCCTCCTTCTTGGGCAGAGGTTGCTCGTCGACCTTTAGGCCCCTCGATCCCAAGAGCCGCTGCCACTTTAAGCCAACAGCTTCGGGAAGTGCCGGAGGTGGGAGCAGAGGGGGGGATGAGCTGCTTGCTGGTGCCTCCACGGACAACGCTCGGGCTTCCAAGCGGCCCAAGATCTGCCAAAAGGGCCAAATTGACTGCATCTGGTGGTAGACCGTCATGTTCGACTCACAGCCATCCAGATTGTGCTCCCCCAAGGCTACGAGGGCCTTCGTGGAGTTCCACACAGCCTGAGAGAGCTGGGAGCTGGTGACCAAAAGACTCTCCGCAGCTGCGAAGTAGGCTGCTGCACGGCCCCAAGAGCAGCGTCGGTAGGCCGTCTGGGACAGGTACTGCAGAGAGGAGCGCAGGGGCAGCGCCGGCGACGTAGGATCGCTGGCCAGCCACGCCGTGCCTTGTAGGCTCTGGCCCAGAGCCACCAAGAAGCGCTGGTCTTCCACAGCCGCCGAGCCACCAGGGAAGTCACAGCAGTCGCGTTTGCCGAGATCGATTCCTGTCATTCCCAGATCCGGCTGCGAGGCAGGCGTCCGGGATGTCTGCAGATCGTGCTGAACGGTTTCAGCCGCCGTGGCCAGCAGTCCGAAGATAGGCCATCCGGAAGCATACACGTCCCAGTACGACAAGGGCACCGCTTTCTGGAACGTGACGCCGCCAAACACCGACGTTCGGATCAAATTCTGCCTCTCCGCGGGATCCATGAAGTGGAAGACGAAGAACCCAAGGGCCACGATGCCCAGGTAGCATTCACCCTGCAGTGGGGCCGATGCCAGCTTGATCAGCTCGTCAACCTCGTGCTGTGCGCGCTTCTCGGGTGGCAGATGGAAGCTGCGCAGGAAGTTCCGCAAGGCCTTCTTCACCCAGGGCCACTCATGGCCGGAGGGGGCCACGGTGGAGGACACCTCGCAGCTGAGGTCGGTCACGTCAGCAACCTTCACCCCTCTTTCGCAGTGCGGACATACCCAAAGGTTGTACTCCTTCAGCCTCTGTGCGCCGCCAGTAACCAGAAGCAGGACCGCAACCAGGGCTCGCGGCATGCTCTGCTTGCATGCCTGTCATGCCATGGGCGCGCTCGCAATGTGCACAGAGAGAAGCGCTGCTTCCTGGATGATATGGTGAGGGTGGGCTGGTGTCGGTGTGATCACGGTTCCAACCGTGGCAAACATGTGAGTCTCAGCAGTATGGTAATCATGCCGTGAACAGCTTGACGACATCGATTTGCGGTTTAGGGCTTTGGGGCTTCAGGCTTCGAGGTTTCACACGAGCTCCAAAGCCATTCAGTGAAAACTAAGGCTTCAAATCGCAAGAGGCCTCCTTGAGAAGGGGTGCCTGAGTTAGTTAGTAAGGGATGGCTGGCAGGGGGCCCAGAGCTTCAGGGGGCCATCGGGGCCCTCCAAGCCCTGAGGACGCGCCAAGAGAAACACAACAAGTCCAAGCCACCTGTGCCCCAAGCATCCAGCTCCATTCCTTCTTCCTTGGCAACTCTTCCTGTTTTTTCTCCCTTTGCTTCCACCTTACCTAACACGAACTCAAAGTTCTATCCTATCCAACAGCCAACACGACAGTTAGCCTACAGAGGGTGTGTTCTTGCGCGAGTCTGTACTTGGGCACAAACAGAGACAGGTATAACAGGCGGCCACCGCTGCAAAAACACAGAGAAGCTCTAAACCCTAAAATTTGGTGTAGTGTCGGCTTTCGGGACGCTTAAAACCCAAACCCCGAAAGCTTTAAACTGCAGAACCCTAAAAACCCTAAACCCTAGACCCTATAACTCGAAAAGCCCTTCAGTAACCCAAAACCCCTGAAACCTGAAACCCTAAAACCCTAAAACCCTAAACTCTAAACCCTAAAACCCTGAAACCCTAAACCCTAAACCCTGGAACCCTAAACCCTAAAACCCCTAAACCCATGGTTCCGCCAAGCTTCAGGAAGGGCTTGCGGCCGAAGAGGCAAAGTCCTTCCTGGGGGTCCAGGGCCAAAGGACCCTCGCACCTGGCTTCAGCGTTTAGGGTGTAGGGGTTGAGGGTTTAGGGTTTAGGGGTTTGGGGGTTTAGGGCAGCGCCCCTAAGCCCTAAACCCTAAACCCTAGACCATGAACTCAAATTCCTAAAACCTAAACCGATGAACTCAGAACCCGAAGCCCTAAGCCCTAAACCAGGAACTCAGAACCCTAAGCCCTAAACCCTAAACTCAGAACCCTAAGCCCTAAACCCTAAACCCTAAGTCATAAATCATAAACTCAGAACCCTAAGCCCTAAACCCTCAGCCCGAAACCCTCGGGAGCCCTGAGTAACGAAGGACCCAGACACTTCAGCAGCGGCGAGGAGGCGTCGCAGAACTCCAAGGCCACCTCGCCATCGAGCCAGATGGTCCTTAAGAGGAGCGAGATTTTTTGGGAGTGAGGAGGGTCCACGGTTTAGGGTTTGGGGTTTAGGGTTTAGGGTGTAGGGTTTAGGGTTTTGGGGTTTAGGTTTTGAGTTTGGGGCATTAGGGGTCTAGGGTTTGGGGCTTAGGGTTTAGGGTTTAGGGTTTAGGGTTTGGGGCTTTGGGTCGAGGGTTCAGGGTCTAAGGCATGAGTCTATAGACGTTCATAAGCACACCAGGGTGAACAGAAGAGCTTCCTGTCAAGGCTTCCTATGAAAGAGCTGTGAACACTTTCGAACCGCATCGAACTCCTGACGAAGCGCCACGCCTTGAACTCACTAAACCCTGAACCCCAAAACCCTGAACCGTAAACCCAAAACCTCTTGCTCAAAAAGCACAGAACACCAGATTTCAGAGTCTCCAAAAACCTCTCGAACGATAATGAGTGGCGCTGCTGATTTACAACATCTTGCCAACTCTCATGGTTTAAAACTGCCGGTGCTCAAAGTCAGAAGTACGCCATAAGTCTGAGAGTGTAGCTCTGTCTTACGGTCAGGAATATAACAGAAGTCCGATCGTTTGGAGATACCTTACATCACTCACACGCTCACAGTTCTACAGCTTAGGACATGTCAGGTAACGAGGGGTACAAAATACCAAGGCTAGGGCTTTTTCTCTCCAGAGACTCCCCAAGGAAGTAACCAAGACTTCCTGAACCTAAACTACGGTTGATGATATAAATCCTGCAAGACCCATCATAAGGAATATACCATAACTCCCATATCATCAACAGCACTAAACCTTCAGAGCTTCGATCCTAAGAATTCTGAACCGCCAAGGCCCATCTAAAAATCGAGACCCTGGGCTTCAAGAAAAAGACTTGCCGTTACACACCCTCAGCCCAAATTATCCTAAACCCCAAACTCTAAACCCCTAAGAAAAAGAGGCTTGAAGAGTTAGTTATACTATTTTTAAGGGATTCTTGCCACACGTATTGTATTTGGGGTTTAGGGTTTAGGGTTATGGTATGCCGAGCCCCACTCTAGTCTAAGTATTCTGGCCCCGAGATGAGACCCTAAAAGCCGTCCACCCAGCGTCATCTTCGAGTTCGGCAAGTCCACGGCCAAGGTCAGCGCATGCCAAGCTCCTGCGCTCACCTTCGCCCCAGACGTCCAGGGCACGAGCTTGTTCCTCAGGGCTTCAGGCTTGGATGGTGGTGGTGGTGGTAGCGGTAGTAGCAGTAGTGGTAGTCGTGGTGGTAGTGGTAGTAGTA